GTTTCTGGGTTCTGAAGCTCAATGTAGACCTATGATGAATACAGCCCTCTCCCTGAATAGTGATTCTGGACGGGATCCTAATGTTGAGGCCCTTTGCGCGAGGGCCTTTATTGAGAAGGGGTCCAAAACTATTCCTGAGGGTTTCCTTCCCCTATTCTATCTTCTAACTTAGAAGCTGCCCCCACCCTGTAATAGTGACTATAAGAATTATATTAGGGACCTATTATATTCCTATTACACCACTATTACAGGGTGGGGGCCCCTTCTAACTTCTAACGCTAGTAGATTCGAGCCTGTGTCCGTTATGGTCCAACGGGCAGAAGCGAAGAGCACCAGTGCTGGTGTTTAATGTAGGAACCTGATTAAGAAACCCTGTGCCTATAACCCCACAATAGTAGGATCCATATAAGGAACCCTAACAAAAAATGATGGTTTCTGAATCAGGTTCCTACATGACAGGGCTTTAGAGTTGAGGGCGTGTAGCCTCGACCGGATGCTTGGGGGTCAGCGGCGGATGGAATTAAAGATTTAGTTCCTCCCCTGAATCCCGGACCCTCTAAGCCCAACCCGGGCTAAACCCCAAACCCCCAGACCTTCTTAGCCTTAAAACCCTAAATCCCGGACGGACTCTTAACCCAAAACCCCAAGCCTTCTTAACCCTAGACCCCAGACCCTCCTAATCCTAAGCCTTAAACCCCGAACCTTCTTAACCGGACACTTTTAGCCCTAAGCCCTACACCGCAAACTGTTCTTAACACTAAACCCTAAATCTCGGACACTGTTGACCCTAAACCCCAGACCCCTCTTAGTAGCAGTAGCAGTAGTAGCAGTAGTTGTTGTTGTTTCAGCAGTTAGCAACTAGTAGCCATAATGACAATGATCATGATTGTGAGTCGCCGTCGTCGTCGTCCTCACGATGGTCATCCCAGTCATCATGCTTCCGCTTCCGGGTGTTCCTTTTGTTGCAAAGCAGGAGTTGAAGGTGCAAGCCTCTCCGCATATCACAACAGTTCACAAGAAATCGTAGTTCGTTGCAAGCCTCTTCCACTCACCCACTAGGACCGAGAGTAGGCCGTTATTCCCTTTTTTGGTGGTTTAGGTTCCCTTGTGACCCCCATTAAACCAAAAAGGGCACCCATTTTTATTCCTACATTACTCTCATATTAGATATAGGTCTAGACACCGACGGTTGAAACTGAGACCAAGGCTTCACAGCTAGCCACGAGAAGCTGATTCGTCTCGAACTGCTGCAGCCTACTATAGGGGCTGCATAAATTACCACGACTATTTTTGTGGTTCCTTATTCTAATTATAGCAAAATGGGCCCTAAAACCCTAAGGCCCCTATATTAGACCTGCAGAAGCCAGGAGCACGCCGAAGAAGATGCTCCAACGCAGCGCCGGTGGATGAAGACGCTGCGCCACCTTAATCGTGACTCTGCCTCGCTGTCGGAGGGCTGGGGTTCGGACGCTATGCGGGGATACTATTGAAGGTGATGTTCGGATTTCAATAAGGGCTAAGACATGGCGCTACAATAGCGGTCAATGTTGGAGATTCGGAGTAAGATTCAGGTGAATATTGGGGAGGTGAATGTTGCGGGCACGTCCCATACACTCAGGATAGGACTAGAGGGACCATTGTGCTTGTTGCAACCGCTGCTACTGCTTCGACGGCCATGATTATCAGTACGACTACGGCCATGACTGATTGCTGCTACTTTATGCCCCTACTCCTGCTGCTACTCATGCCTACTCCTCCCCACTCCGACCCTACTACTACTACTACTACTACTACTACTACTACTACTACTACTACTACTACTACTACTACTACTACTACTAGTACTACTAGTACTACTACTACTACTACTACTACTACTACTACTACTACTACTACTACTACTACTACTACTACTACTACTACTACTACTACTACTACTACTACTACTACTACTACTACTACTACTACTACTACTACTACTACTACTACTACTACTACTACTACTACTACTACTACTACTACTACTACTACTACTACTACTACTACTACTACTACTACTACTACTACTAACTACTACTACTACTACTACTACTACTACTACTACTACTACTACTACTACTACTAACTACTACTACTACTACTACTACTACTACTACTACTACTACTACTACTACTACTACTACTACTACTACTACTACTACTACTACTACTACTACTACTACTACTACTACTACTACTACTACTACTACTACTACTACTACTACTACTACTACTACTACTACTACTACTACTACTACTACTACTACTACTACTACTACTACTACTACTACTACTACTACTACTACTACTACTACTACTACTACTACTACTACTACTATTACTACTACTACTACTACTACTACTACTACTACTACTACTACTACTACTACTACTACTACTACTACTATTACTACTACTACTACTACTACTACTACTACTACTACTACTACTACTACTACTACTGCCACTACTGCAACCACTACCACTACCACTGCCACTACCATCACCACGACCACGACCACGACCACGACCACTACCACTACCACTACCACTACTACTACTGCTACTAGTACCCTCGATGCTGGTAGTGCTGTGGTGCTGTTGCTGCTGCTACTGCTGCTATTGCTGCTGCTGCAGCTGCGACGGCTACAGCCGATGCTGCTGCTAGCATCGCCAACACCCCCACGACCACCACCAGACCGAGCCGGTTTTGCCTATGACAACTGGTTGCCAACACTGTCCTAGCCGAGCCCATGACCATGACGACGTCCGGTCTAAGGTTTAGATTCTGCTTTGTTCGAGTGGCAGTTCCGTTTCAGCTCTGGGCATTGCTAATGGGCCAGGAAACCAGCAGCACCGCTGTCGCAGCAGACAATTCGTACGTCTGTTATGACCACTCACTCTGACAGTAAACTACTCGCGCGGCTATTGTAGGGACTGACGGGTTCTACGTCTGGTGATGCTAAATAAAGCAGCTGTTGCGAACTGACTGAGAATGAACGGTCGTGTTTGACAAGCTTGGGTCAATGAAGCATCATCTCATCATCAAAGTCTCTAGTTCAAGCAGTAGTGCTACTTTGGGGCATATACTCACTAATGTCTCTTGTCGTTTTTGTGACTGTTGTTACCAGGACGATGACAACAAGCCAAGAAAACTCTAAGCAGCAGCAGCAACAGCAGCACCGGCAATCTATCAACGACAACTGCCAGAACGTAAGCCAACAGGCACCAAGTTATAAACACAACTTTATGGGACGCTTAATTCTAGTCTTTCACGGACCAGGCGGGTAGACTAATGACTACTACCATAATGGTTCACACCCTTGCCGCTACAGTACCTGCATCCTGCAAGCCCCTTCCTTGCGAATTCGACGCTGTTCGCAGACTTTGCATATCCAAAGCAGAGGCAGATGGATCCCGAATTTGGTCGTCGTGGTGGTGGCGTTTGACGCGGTATCCACTTGCTTATCTATTGTTCCTTGACTTCCCGAGTCTGCTTGCAGAGCCGTACCAGCCGGAAGCGCCGTCGTCCGATCAGAGCACAGCAGAGAGTCAGAGTCAGAGAAGAGCATTCAAAGCTGAAATCAACAGGGCCTGCGTGTGCGGTATAGGGTGAAATCATCTTGGAAGTTCTAAACTCCGAAGTACTTACAAAGCTCCGGAGTACTTCCGTGAAAGAAATATTGAGAGGCTCTCCTTGCTGATTCCCCAGGACTCCTTGCTTCGAATCAAAGTGTTTCAAGAAAACCCCGAAAAGAGCTCAAGTATTTTGGGGCAGCTATAGGCAAAAGCGTTGCTGTCCAGCCCAACAGAAAGCCAAAGCCCTGAACCGACACATGCCCTGAAGGCAGTCACCACCGGACAAGAGGCACACCTGTAGTATAGGGGCCTGAAACACGTGTATCAGTGTTTGTATCAATTTTTGTATTGTATAGAAACCCCACAGAGTCCAAACATTCTGGCCCAGGCCTGCAGGTCCATTGTCAGTCCAAAGAATACCCTGCATCATGAGGATTTTCGGGCCGCCGACAACGATCTTCCACGATTTGTCCATTTGTTGATGGACGTCTGCGTCCTGCACCCTGGCGAATTACAATAGCCTTTAGCATGCTTGGCTCTTTCCGGATGTCATGCTTTAAATTTGGGTGGTGCAGGCCCTAAACCAAACAGTTCTCCAGCTCCCTCCTGCTTCCTGGAAGCTGGTTCCACTAGGGGCCGGGTAGGCTGCTGGGACATGAACGAGTGAGGCTTTAACTCATTGAAGGAGGCCGAGGCTTTACAGACCAAGCAGATGACAAGGTTCATGCATATCATGTGCATCCCACAAGCCAAGACAAACGCAGCAAAAGTTTAGTTCACAGATGTTTTCTTAAGAACTGTGAGTAAGGGATGTGAGACCCCCATCGCCGCAGACATGTTTTCAAGGGTCATGTCGTCGTTAAGGTAGGTTTTCGCTAGCAACCCCCCGTTTTGACATTATTCTAGACGCCTCAGAGAAACACACTGAATTGCCACCCGCTGCAGAACTCACATGGCGGTACCTTATAGACTTGACCCTTTTTAGCACACACTTGCTCCCTGCGGAGCCCTTGTAGGACCCTTCCCGAACCGGTAAAGAAACCATCTAGTACCGGAATTCGTTTTGCACCATTACAGCACCCTTCTAGAACCCTGAGACAATCTGCATAAAACCCTTTCAGAACTCTTGACAACCTTTCAATAACCGTGCAGTCAGGGTACCCCTATAGAGCCTTTATATAATCCATATACAACCCTCAAACACAACCCTGGTAGAATCCTCATAGAACGCTTGTAGATTGCAGAACCCTGGCAATCAACACTTACAGAGCTCTTCAGCACCCCTTGTAGCAGCCTCTCAACAGAACCTTTGTAGAAGCCTTAACCCTTGTAGAAGCCTTACTGAACCCTCACAGGCCCGGTAGAAGGGAGCATTCTCTCCCATGGAGGGTTCAGGGCCTGGGGCCAGGCTTACGGCTCCAAGTTAAGTTAGGGGGCAGGTTAGGAATCAAGCGTCCCGGCTGCCGGCGGAGGTTTTACACCTTCGAGTTCATAGTGAACGTCATTTTGAAAGGCGGCTTTGCACGCAGTGGAGCAAAGATCCCCCAACCCTAATTTTTTATCCGATCTATTCAATAAAATGCCATCGCATTGTTGCGCCAGCTGGAAGACAAGCAGGGAAAGAGGTTGAGGCTCCTTCGCAGCATGCTTTTGCAAGGAGGACTTCGCACCTGACATGCAGGCAACATGAAAGTACAGAACTCAAATGAGTTGCACAAGGTCATATCCGAATAGAACCGTGAACAGCGAAACAACACGATAGCATAACACAGGTGTGGAGATGTATGGGATTGAACATATTGCGGGTAGAGGCGCTCGGCGAACCTGAATGACTGGCTTTGCAGTCAGGAGTACGTGGGCGGCAGTCTTACGGGGGCTGAACATGCCTAAGCAATCTTTCCGGGAAGCTCCGGTGGTGTCCGGTGATTGCAATGCAGGAGTCAAAGTTCCCTCGATGAGGTCCTAAACGTGACACTGAAATCCGACGTCCTAAACCTAAGGAAGGAAGCATTTGAAAGACTGGATGGCCTGGGTGGATGTCGTTGTCTTGATCTGCGGCTACCTGGAGGCGCACTTTGATAGTGCTCCTGTGTGGGCTTAAGGTCCAGAGCTTCGAGCTTAGAGAACCGACCCCGCAAGTTGCAAAGCCTGAACCCCAAAGCCCTAGAGCCGTGAACCCACAGGACCAGGGAAAAAAACAAGATCAGCCCAACACCAGCGTTCACAGCACTCGGTGGCAAAGGTAAGCTGGCCAATGCTTTGTGGTGGTAGGATTTGAGGTGTTAGGATTTGGAGCCTGAGGTTTAGAGGAAGCCTGCTCGATTCGTACAGCTTGAAGACACAAATCCTCACAGCTTACATGCCCCGCACCGCAACATACCCTAATCCCTAAACTCCTGATACCCGTAACACCGACACAACCCTGGGTCCGAAAAGCCCCCACCCTTCTAACGTAGGGGCCTTAAGAATATAGTTATAGTAGGATGGGCCCCAAAACCCTATTCTAATTAATGAGGCCTCTACACGTTACACTATCACCTCATGAACCTCAGTTTCTGCCCGCTGCTTGCAGATCTTCACCCGGCTGTTTCCCGAATATCCTGCGGAACTGGATCTCGCGCATAATCTCCGCGTGTTGCGGCTTGTGCGCTCCTGGGACTCAAGGGGGCGTCTGTGGAGTTCTAAGCTCTTTCGGTTCAGGAGGGTTTGGGGTTTAGGGGGCGCCATAAACTCCAAACTGTGCCTTCAACCTTCAACCTAGCCCCCCCAGACCCAGCCCAAAGCTCAGAGTCTTGAGTTCGCAGAGTGGTTCGTAGCTGCACCGGCTGCTTTTGATTGTGTGTTTGTTCAGAGTTCTTGCCGATGCCCTCATCTCCGAGCCCTGAGCCGTAAGCAGGACAGGCTTGAGGCCGACCTGCCACCCCAAACCGCAAAAAAGAGATGTTGACACGGCCCGAAAAGCCCAAGAACTGGTAAACTGATTTTTTCAGTCTAGGGGTTGAGGGTTTCGAATCTCATCCCTGCGAAGAAACGAAGAGATAAGCCCTAGCCCCCTAAACTCTAAACCCTGAAGCTACGATGATGAAGGGCCTAATGGATCTGTACCATACATGTGTTTCAACTGTTGCCGAGTGGGGGGTTGCAGTATCCAGCCCCGAGCCGAAGAGTTTGAGAAAGATGCCCCGGGTGTTTAGGCAGCTGGGCAAGGCATAACCGTCTAGCGACCCAGAGTCGGTCTTCTTGTGTCGACAAGGCTTGTTTCTGAACAGAAAAGGCTTAAAAAAAATCAGCCTGTTTCCCAGGATCCGCATCCTTTGTATGTTTTTGTAGGGATGCTTCGCCGCCCGCCGTTCCTGCAATCCGGTTCTAAGGCCTCGCCCTTTTTAGCGGCCTTAGAGCTGAAGACGAAGACATGACAGCCGAAGTCTGAAGTGCTCAAGCCGGCAGATTTCCGAAGTCCTTGAATCATAGGGACAATTAGGGGGGTAGGGGGCTTAATGCCCATAATCCTTCAAGGTCTGTCTGTGGGGAGTTGGGCTGTAGTATTTAGGGCATGCATCCATGACCCACCACTTCCTGCAAAATGCGAGTAGGCCACTGCACGTCCGCAAGCAACTCTCAACATGCATCCCCAAGACCCGAATACGTGGAGGGCCTGCAGACGCCCAAACTTCGTTTCCATTTAAGCCCTAAAACAACTAGAACCTTCAGGGAGTTCTCTACAGCAAGCCTTAGCGGAACCCTTAGAGCCTTGAGAGGAAACCTTAAACGAACCCTTGAGGGGACTTGTCAAGGCAGCCAGATATGCACCGCTTCCGAGATTCGTCGATGTCCCTAAACCCTAAACCCTAAACCCTAGGCATCTTCCGCTTGACCAACTTCCTCCGCAAAGCACGGTCCTTACGGGAGTTGCAGAAGCTTGGAAAGCAAGTTTGGGGTGTACCCCGAAGTTTGAACCTTTATGGATATTTTAGGGTTCTGTCTAGGGGTCACGGTATTGGGGCTTGGGATTGTGGGTCCAGGGTGTAGGGTTCGAGCAGAGTAGTTTGCCCATTTGAAGGGTTGGGAGACGTTCAAGGAATTTGCTATAGGGTTTAGGGTTCCTTTCAAGAGCTCTAGGAGGAATGTATACCGGTTTAAGGTCTAAGGGTTTAGGGTTCCTTTTGTGGGTTCTCGAAGGAATCTATAAAGGTTTAGGGTTCCTTTTAAGGGCCAAAATAAGTAGAGTTCGTGACTCCTAACTGTATTTGCTGTGTCTGGGAGCACGTAAAATACGCAAAGAGCGCACTCCCAGGTGGCCCGTTCTGAATAATTACCTATGCTATTTTGGGGGTTCCTCTTGTTTGTGTTTATAGTAAACTGTGCCCCAAAGCCCTATTCTAATTACTCGCCTGCTTGCAGGATCACTTATCCCCTTCGCGCCACGTCCCTTGATCCTTTAACTATTACAGCGGCTGAAGTATCTACTTATTACATACAACATTCCCTTACAGTCCTCATATATGAGTACTGTAAACCCCGAAACCCCATTCTAATGACGAAGTGTATTCTGGGTCCCTCGCATGTTCGATCTGCCAAAACCCGAAGCTCAAAGCGTTGGACCCACAGCGTTCTGCAAGGGATTTTTCAGGGGTCATATACTGTTTAGCATTTGAGGATAACACAACTCTGCAAAGCACGGCTCCAAGACCCAAAATCAAGCAGACGAAGGTCTCTGGAACGTGGTTTACGCTATAAGTACGTGAGAATTGTTTTCTCTCTCTCTCTCTCTCTCTCTCTCTCTGTATATATGTATATATGTATATATTGAAACAGTTGTACACATGTACACATACACATTATATGTATATAGATATATACACAGACGTACATGCATATAGAGAGAGTTTCTTAAGAAGAGGGCGACGACACTGACCGTCTCACGGTTCAGGTATCAGGCTTTCGGATACTACCCTTAACAGCAAACCCTCAAGACGCAGGCCAGAGACCCTACAGCCAAACACCCTATACCGTAAAATCTAGAATCTAAACCCCCGGCTGACAGCACTCTTAGAGCCTATCAGACAAACCCCACAACCTGAGCCCTAAACGTGCAGACGCAAAAGGGTGCTTTAAACAAGTCCTACACCTGGGAGAAAGGTCCGGTCATCTAAAACAACCCTCCTAAACCCTAAAACACCCTGAACCCTAAACCCCAAAACACCCTAAACCCTAAACCCCTAAACATCCTGAAGATCCGAGGAAGATGGTCACCATGCTCAGCACCTGTCTGAGCCTCGTCGAGCAAGAACTCGAGCTCCCAAAGGCTGTTTCAAAAGTGTGCGGGCGGTTTTAGGTTTTAGGGTTCAGGGTTTAGGGTTTGGGGGGGTTGAAGGCATTCGGGATTGTTGGGGTTGGTCGAAAATCTGAGACTGCGCTTGGGAGCAAGGAAAGTATCAAGGCTCAGACGTACTAGTACAGCCCAGAGCCTCAACTGAGAGAACAAACAAGCAAAGCAGCCCCCAACAATCCCTTGCACCTCAAAACCCTGAACCCTCAAAGCCCCCAAGAACCTCGCAATGCAGACTCCACATTCGTGACAAAGACAAAGGAAGACACTGGCATGGTCCTTTGTTTTCTGCTTCGGGATGATGACGATCTGGTCGTGGCTTGGCTTACAATTAGGGCTTCGGGTCTTTCAAGCGGCAAGACCCTCAACCCTCACAATAGCATTGGCAACCCCAGAGTTCAAAGACGCAAGTCTCCAAATACAATCCAGCTTCGTCTTCTGCGTGCCAGTGCCTTGAATCTGAGTCCCTTATCATGCGAGGATCCCAAGGATTCTGCCTTACTTCAGTCAAAGGGGAAAAGGAGGGACCCTTAATGGGGACCCCTACCCTATAATGGGTAATATAGGGTATATACCTAGGGGTCCTTATTCAGGGTCCCTCCTTTTACCCTTGGAGGGCTGCGGGAGTCTTGGAAAAGCTACATCCGAGCGAGCCCTGGAGCCCTAGTAAACCCCGAACCTCAAAGGGGGTTTTCAGGCTCAGCGCTTTGGGTTTAGGGATGTTTGGGGCTTAGGAATCGGAATGGGGGGGGGGTTGGGTTTAGACTTTAGGATTTAGGGTCCTTAGAATAAGGATCCTACTATTTAGGGTACTATCTTAGGGTCCCCTTTTTTCGGAAACCGGTAGCTCCCTACTCCAAGAAGAGCAGAGAGAAGAAAAGTGTCCGTGAAGGATGCTCATGGTGGAGCTCGTGCATCCGATAACAGAGGAGATGTATGCGCCCCGGCTGCCTTTACTAGGGTTCTATAAAGGTTCCTTTAAAAGGGTACTATAAGGATCCCTTCAAAAGGGTATTATAAGGGTCCCTTTAAAAGGGCTCTATAAGGGTCCCTTTAAAAGGGTACTGTAAGGGTCCCTTTAAACGGGTATTATAAGGGCCCCTTTAAAAGGGTACTATAAGGGTCCCTTTAAAAGGGTACTATAAGGGTACTATAAGGGTTGCGGGCGTAGATTTTTACATGGGTGGTTGTCAAAATTATGGTCCCTTCTTGGGTACCCTAAATATTAGGTGCCGTATTATAATCAGGACCTTCTGTCATTGCATCTTGGCGCACTGCGCTCACTGAGCTGGTGAATGACTTGACTGTCGTTCTTGACACATTCTAGGTTCTTGTTTGTTGCCATTCATGTTTCACGTGCACCAATGAGTGCTCCATGCAAACGACCGGTTGATGTCCGGCAATAAACATGATAATAAGGACCCAGAAAAGGGCCCCTAATTGGTGGGCAACCTTTAGCCCCTTTGGCCGCCTAGATTTGTAATTCCTAGCAGAATCAAAGGATCAAATGTTGACCTCGAAGTTGGCCAACTCGGCAGCTAGGACGGGCGTCAGAGCTTCTTATGTCCCGAACCCACCCAGGAAGCTGTACTACCAAGAAAAACTCCAAACTCCAAAGGCTCCGCAACAAAAGTTTCACACACACACACACATGTACGCACACCCACCCACACATCCACATACACACACACACACAGAAAAAAGCAAAAGAGGCCACGGCAACAAAAGGAAAAGACACCTGCTCCTTCAAGAATTGTGGAGGATCCACTTATCGAATCATAGAAATTCGGCGCAAGCGGGCTTCAGGGGGCCCGATCCAAGCATGTTCAGTAGAGCCTACACCCTCCGCGTTGTAGGATCCTTGCATGCATCTCGCCCAGATCGTCCTCAGCGACTGCTTGCCAAAACCCCTAAAGTCGCAAAACCCTGGAACCCCTAAACCCCTAAGATCCCTAAACCCCCAGACCCCTAAACCCTTAAATCCTAAACCCCTAAACCCTTAAACCCCATAAACCCCTAAACCCCCAAAGTCCTTAAACCCTTAAGCCCCCTAAACCAGCCTCTACCAAGGCAGAGAGTCCAACGGACCTAGACATCGAAGATGCATACACATCGACGTCCCTCGGCCATAGCTCGGTTTCTCCTAAGGGACCTTAGGGGGCTTGGGGGGGGGGGGGGGTTTAGGTTTGGGTTTAGGGTTTAGGGAGGAAGAGGAGGAGGAGGAGGAGGGGAACTATACTTCTTTACATAGGCCTTATTTAGGACCCCTACCCCCCTCCCCCCCTAAGCCCTAAGGCCCCCATGAGGGTCCCTGTGATGGTCCTGTAAGCTGAGAAAATAGATGTAAAATATGAACTAGATGGCGGTAAGGATGATGAATGACCTAAAACTAGAAAGGAAATAATCATCAATAATATCTCCTATATCAATGCACCTAAAAATACTAATAAATAGAACATACTAAAATCCTCTTATAAAATCTCATGGTTCGTTTCTCGTGAGCGCGCTTGTCGGGCTTGTTGGATCTATTTTGGGACCGAGGCCCCGAATTGTCGGGCAGACTCATCATCAGAATCGTCATAGCAGTAATGATGATGCTAATGACAATCATAGTAGTACTGATGGCAATATTGGTAGTAGTAGTAATTTGTAATATGAATATAAGTAGCAATACTATCATTCGGAATAAGTAATCTGAAAATCAATACTTGTAGTACAGCAAGCTATAGTAGTAGTAGTAGTAGTAGTAGTAGTAGTAGTAGTAGTAGTCGTCGTAGTAGTAGTAGTAGTAGTAGGAGGAGGAGCAACAATAATCAGTGTAATAATAGCCTTAAGAAGAATCATAATAGTACCAGTACTGTATAAGAATAACAGTAATATCAGCCATCACAATTAGTCATCGTTGCACTAAGAAGACGACATGGCAGCAATAAGAAACTAGTCAATAACACTGATGCTGACAAAAATGATGTAGTACAGCGTGATCGTGTCTTAGCCTCGTGGTCTTGTTGTTTGCTTCATCCTTCATATGTGTTCCTTGTTTGTGGCAGGGAGGTTGTATGTGGGAAGTGCATGTCCTATGCTTCACCTGAGGGCATCGATCATGGCCGCCAACCTCCTCCTGTTCAAGACCGTCATCGCAGGCGGATCACTTTGGACTTGGGTATTCCCTGAGAGGTATGACTAAGTCTAAGTTTCAGGCTGCATGTTACATCTTTCCCACGGGCGAGGTTTCTAACTGTCGGCGTTGCGCGCAGTAGTTCCCTGGCTTTTCTCTGGATGCTTTGGCTTCAAAGTCTCGCCCATCATGCACATGCCCAAGGGCCTTAGCTTGGGTCTTGCCCCCCCCCTCAGTAACAGTTGAATAACGTTCATAAGTTAGATAAATTAGGACCTAAATAGTAGGCCTATTATAGACTGTTACTTATGGGGCCAGTACCCAACCTCAGCCTTAAACTCCTCAACTAGACCCAGATCCGAAGAAATGCCCGGAGGCGACAGCTGGGGGACCATTGCAGTACCGATCATCCGAAGAGAGCCGTTCACGGCCCTGATTTTCTGCAGCTTATCTTGATATGTACTTGGAGGCTCTTTCGACTTAGTACGTCTACGAAGTACATCCCAATAGCAACTTAGTGAAAACTATAGTCTATTGTCCAACCCGCCTGGTCCAGAGAATAGCCAGGGACTCTTAATAAGGGTGCTGCAAGGGGCCCTGTCTCAGTCAACTACTCATCTCGTTCTACTTAGTGCCTGCAAGACCTTGAGGGGACTGTTCCAAAATATTGGTCGTTGTGGGAACTTCCCCACAAAGAGGCCCTCTTCGGCAAAAGACGCATTGCTGGCCCCTCCAGTTTGCCATGACTGGCATCCCTGCAAGCGTCGGAACTAGCAGTACTTCTCAACATGTTGAAGTAGGTTTGATATCAGGGCTGTGGTGAGTAATTACAGGAGGGGTTGGAATGTTTGTTCTCAGCGTAGAGCTTGATATTATGGGGAGACTAATGGAAGCCCTACTGCATACATGAATATCTCTGTATTTGTGCTTATAATTTTGTTTGTATATGAGTACTATGTTACTATACATACACATACATACAGATATGTGTATGTAACTACCACAATGTGTTGTCCTCAGAGTCCCGTGTCTGTCCTTCGTAGCATGTCGTGATGTCAACCTTCGTCTTAGGGTTTTAGGATTTGGGGTTTAGGGTTTCTGGTGTAGGGTTTAGCAGCATCTAGGGTTGTAGGGTTCAGGAATGTCTTGCGCACGCTCTGGCTGCGATTCTATTTAACAGATCAGAGACTTCCTACATAGCTGGCATTTGCGTTTTTAACATAGAGCTCTATTTGTATAAGAGCTCCCAACCACGAGCCATGAGGCCACCTAAAAACGGCCCACGCTTGCTTTCAAGGACACAGGGACATGGAGGGGTTTCTACGATTCAAGGTTTGCATTAATTCAGAGGCCTTCATGATTGTTGTTTTTTTTTTCGGGGCGGTGGGGGTCCTTATTATAATTGTAATATACTGGGCCCCAAAAACCTTGGGCTTGAAGGCTTGTAGAGGTTGAAGCAGTTCAGTCGCTCCAGCAAGGCGGATCCCTGATGACGCTGGTCTTTGGCGTCTTGAACCTTATCGTAGCGGCTCCTTGGATTCAAAAAGATATTGGGGCTTTTGGGGTGTCGACTTTATGTTGGAAATTTTAAGTTCGATGGGTTGAGGAACAAGGCCCTTCTGAAACCATGCACTCTTAAACCTTAAACGGGTTTGAAGGCTCGAGTTTAGGGTTCAGGGTTCGTGGTTTATGACGTGGTCACGCCGCTCGCCCAAAAGTCTTCCTTTGCGGGAATATACTGCTGCAGGCTGCTTCCCGACTCCAACACTGTAAACCCCAAACTTCACTGCCTTTGTTGTCTTAAGGTCAAGAATCCTGAAACCGTAGGCCTTAACAACCCTTTCTGATTGCCGTCACTTCCGTCTTAGAGTTGGCAGGTGATCGTCGACACCTTCGCGGAAGCCCGCGAAAGAGACATCATGAACCTAGCAGAGGCCCCGTTTAGTGAGGGGTTTGGGATTTAGGGTTTAGGGTTTGGGACCTGCAGGGTGGATCTTCAGACGGGAGATTCAGGCTTCAGGTAAGACTGCGCCGAAGAGCAGCAATAGCAGTGCTTATGGTAAGTTTATGCTGTTACTGTTACGAGTATCATGACTATAGTGATTCTTGGGTGTGTTTGAGACGTCTACTTAGGATTTCGGTTGAGGTGCTTCAGTCGCAAGATAATACAAGTGCTTGCCTCTCGGTGGTTGCATGCATCCTTGTCCCTCTTGCCTGGTCTGAACTTACGTGCCCCGGTGTTTTTCATGGCCCCAAAAGATTAGGGTTCAGGGTTTGCTTGGCTCCCAGTGCTTGACTTCACGGTGGATCATGCAACGCAGTCCCGTGATGCAGGAGTTAGAACTCAGTCACGAAGACGACAAGAAGTTTCTTCGAAAGATGTTTGCACCTTGTGGGCAATTCGACCTTACATTCCCGGTGCTACAGGGGTCGGAATACTTGGCAATAGTATTCCGCCACAGTCCCTAGGAAAACCCTTACTATGGGGGCCCTAATAATTCCCTAATTTTTTCTGGGGGCCTCCTTAAAATAATTACAATATAAAATATACCCCCCCAAACCCTATGCTACTTATAAAGGCCCCTGCATTACAGTCCAAAGCCTGGCCATGCTTCTGAGAGGCCCCAGATCCCCCCCCACGCCGGATATACCGGAGAAGCTCAAAACCCACCACCCTAAAGGGAACTCCAGAAAGTTGGGATATGGTTTCAGGGTAGGATCCCCTATAATTTACATTAAAGGGGTTACGATAATGATATTCCAACTTTCTGGCTTTTACTGTAAGTTCCAACACTCTAATATAGGAACCTTATCAAGCAACCTTGGGTCTTTATTAGGGTTCCGTATATGAATCCTGATATATGGGGGTTCTAGGGCCATGGTTTCTTAATCAGGTTCCGACATTAAGGCCCCAAGCCCAAGTCCCAAGAGCCGCGCAAACCCCAGTCTCTTACTTAGGAGGACAGCACCTTGACCTGTCTCGCAACTAAGGCCCTAAACCATACAAGCCCTATACATCCAGAAGCCGAGTGTTTAAACCTTGACCGCCAAACCTGGACCCTGAACCATCCTAAACCCGACAGTAACCTGAACCCTAAACTATCCTAAACCCAAGCCACTCCCGAACCCTAAACCCTAAACCCATCTCAGGATCGCTTGGACGTAGAGGGCCATGGTGAAGTTACCTTGGATGACTTGGTCAAAGGGGCCCGACAGGAGGGAAGGGTTTAGGATTTAGAGTTTAGGGTGTAGGGGTTTCGGGCAATACCAATACTGTTCCGAAAGGCTCTTAGTCTAACTATAGTATTACACCTCAAAGCCCGAAGGGCTAACGATGATAAAGACATCATAAGGACCCTTGGGGGGGGTAGGGGCCCGTAATATCTATAGTAGGGACTTAAGAAGGCCTATTTAAGGAAGAGAAGTCCCCTACGCCCCTACCCCCCTAAGGGTCCCTATGAAGACAGTGGTAAAGTGACAGCAACAGCGGTCCCGAAGCCCCAACCCTAGTATTAGGGTTTAGGGTTTAGGGTTCGAACCCCAGAAGTGAAAGCCCCAAGATCTTGCAATGTCCACAGCCTTAGGCCCCTAAAGCTCAAACAACAGCAACAGCAGCAAAAACCACAGCAGCCACGCACGACCTTAGACACTGCCGCGGCAGCGGCAATGACAATGACAGCAATGACGACAGCGCAGGGCAATAGCAGAACCTCCCAAAAAACCCTGGAAAGCCTTAGTCGCTCTGGAAACCTGCAACTCGGTTCTTTGCGCAACGAAGTTCCATATCAACTTGCTGAAGCGACGGAGCACGAGCAGGATCTCAGCACGGAGCAGCTTTTTCTTGTATGGACTCGTTCAGAGGGGACCCGAAGCGCCTATGAGTCACCACTCGCATGTCTCTTCACTGGAACGACAGCTTCGAGCCAGAAATCCCCCAAACTCTGAAGCCGAAACCCTAAACCCGAAACCCTGAACCCGAAACCCTAAACCTTAAACCCTACCTAAACCTGTAATGCCCGATGAACTGCCATGGAACTGCGTACTGAGTTGCAAGACCCTACCCGCAACCCGTCGCAGGACCCCGAGTTTCAGAGCCGCCTGCGAGTCATGGACATCGACGAGGTGCGGTTTCTGTAAAGATCTGTAGGGTTTAGGGTTTAGGAGTTTAGGGTTCCGGGATGAGGATGGTTTAGGGTTTGGGGGTTTAGCGGTTTAGAGATTCAGGGTTTAGGGGTTTGGGGTTTAGGGTTATTTAGTGTTTAAGGGTTTAGGGTATTGGGTTCCTTCAAAGATTAGTCATCCAGTGGTGCTTCAAGGCTAGCATATCTGTTGCATGTGGGTCCTTGTGGCTGTGGGGTTTGGATCCAAGAGCACGAGGGTGTGCAGCTTTTTGCTACTGTTTACATCTTGTTGCGCTTCGCGAAGCTGTTTCCCAAAAAAGCTCATGGTTCAAGCTACAAGCTAGTGCCAGGGTTAGTACCCATAATTGGAAGTTGGAACCATCGAAACCGCAAGTTATTGGATCCACGGCACGTGACTGTCCCGAGCTTTAACATCCGAGAGCCTGAAGCCTGCTTGCTACAACGCCCAAAACCACGTTTGAAGGCCGAAAAGCCTAAAACAAAATACCAAACCCTAAGCCCTCAACCCCTAGACGCTTAAAGTAGAACCCTATACCCTAAACCCGTTAACATTAGTGCCTTTATGGATCCCTTATTGTTTCTTCTTCTAGAACCCTTAAAAGGAGCCCTTGAACCTAAACCTCTTACAATTAACTGCTGTAGTTCCCTTATACTCATCCTTATAGGAGCCCTCTAAAATAAAAAGGAACACTTAAACCCTATCACAGTAAGCCTTGTTAAATCCGAACAGGCCTTATAAACCCCTAATAAACCCTTTTCAACCCTAAAAAAACCCAAGAGCCCCGCCAGGTAGACCTTGAGCAGCTTTTCTACATGATCGACGTCGACGGTTCTGGGACTGTGGAGGTCAGAGAGGTTTTGAGTCTTGCGGCTTAGGTTTAGGGCTTTGGGTTCAGAGCTTCGGGTTTTGGGCCAAATGGTTTTCGGTAGCCGTTTCTTAAGGCGTTTTAGAGTTTGGGGCTTCGGGGTTAGGATGGAGCTTTGGGATTTGGATTGGAGGTTTTGGGGTTTCCGTTTCTAGGGCGTGTGGGGCTTAGGGCTTTAAGGTTTCGTTTCGAGTATTGCAAAGTTTGGGCGCAAGAGATATAGAGGCACCTACACGGGGGGAAGGTGCTCTTGCTCATTCTTCAGAGACGATGTGGTTAGAGACATGCTGGGGAGGGCTTCTCGAGTTTTGGATGCCGGGTTTGGCGGCATAGGGTAGCGGATTTAGGGCGTGGAGTATGGGTTTTGTTCAGGATGTGGGATGTAGGAGTTGGGAACGAGAGTTTCCGGTCTAGTGTAGAGAGTTTAGGTTTTCGGAAGGTGTAATTTTTGTTTGGTGTGTAAGGTATAGAGAGGTTGAGTTGAGGAAGACTGGGTTTCGGTAGGGGCAGGTAGGGTTTCACGCAGCTGGGCTTGCCGAGACTTCTGTTTTTGGGCTGCTCAGAACACGTCAAACCCAAGCCCTTAAGCGCCGGACCTCAACTTACCGATAACGGATCCGATAACGACACTCCGAACCTAATAATCCAGCATCGACGAGGCGAGCAACAGATGGTCTGTACCATCATCAAAAAAAGGGCTTGACAATCACATGTTGAAGAGCAAGGCATGCTGGAAGAGTCACTTGTCATCGACATCGTAATCGAACTAGTAGTGACTGCGAAAGCATGAGATTCACCGCACGAGGCTGATGAGTTCATTGCGCCGCTGAGCAGATGGGTGCACGAGCCCCTTGTCACTGATGGTCTAGGGACCACAAAAGGACATAAGCATTTTACAGGGATATCCCTACCCTATTGGGCTTCATCTGATGGTATCCAAGCGCACCTTTGAATTCCGAAGTTCGAAACCAAGAAGGTTCATAGAGGGCCGAAATCAGTTCGTAATACTAAGCTACTGCTCCTTAGGGCCATGTTGGGTTCCTCCACGAAAGTATGGTCTAGAGGCCCTAAAGCCCTAGTCTAACGCTCCTTTCACAAAGTTGGAGACCCCTACTGCTCTAATCCAAAGCCCCCAAATAGTAGGATCCATAGTCTTAGGAGACCCAACTTCGACACTCGGTACCATTTTCAGGTATCTGAAACACCCCCAAGTGGGCTCGACTAACCCTTGCGGACCCTTCTTCTGGGGGCTTCGCTTCCGGATGCGATGCAGGGCCGAGGCTTCAAGAAATCTAAAGGTTCAGGGTTTAGGGTTTAGGGTTTAGGGTTTAGGGTTCAGGGTTCAGGGTTTAGGGTTTAGGGTTGAATGTGTAATGGCTGTCATCTTCCAGAGCTCGTCGCTTGGAAGGTTTGAGTAGCGGCGCAGCAGGTGTATGTCTTTTGGTGTCCTTACAACAGGATCCCACTATCTGGTGTGGTATATGGCGTTACTCATGTTCTCAGAAGGCCACCCCGAAGCCTAAATCAAACCCCTAAATCCCAAACCCCTACGCCTCTAACACCCCAAAACCTCTGCCCCTAAACCCCCACCCTCCTGGCATCCTCATAATACTGCACCAGGTCTAAGACTGCGACCCGGTTTATCAAGTACAACTTGATGCGTGCCCCGGCTATGTTGGGGTTTCGGGTTCTTTCGGGGCTCTAAAAAGATTCCTATGTTGGGGTTTTGGGTTCTTTTGGGGCGCTAGATAGATTCCCATGTTGGGGTTTTGGGTTCTTGGTTGGGCTCTGGAAAGATTCCATAGTGGTTTTGGGGTCGAAAAGGGCTCTAGAAACGTTCTGCACTGGTTTTGGGTGTGGGGTATCATTTGCCTGGCTCCTCCGTCTACAGTCAACCCCACAAAGTTGGAACGTTGTGTCAGAGGATTGGTGCGAAGATCCACTATACTCTGCCTTAAGGACATGAGGTTATCGATGTTCCATTTTTCTGGATTCGACTACAAGAAAACCAGGCCCTCTCTTCTCTAGGACGCGAGGTGACGATGCATAGGGGCTTTCGGGTTTGGGGATGTTTGATGTTTGGGGCTTTAGAGATCAGAGATCTTTGGAGTTCCTGGCTGGCGATGACAGCGACCATGACACGTTGACTTATCGGGGGGTCGTACTGTCAGTTTGATAGCATCAGCCCGGGCTTCTAAGTCACATGGGGATCTTACAAACCCTAAACCCCGGAACCCTAGACCCCTAAACCCGAAAAAGAAGCTGCTTCTTGCAATCGGGGCACCATTCAGCCGCCAAGGTTTAATTAGGGTGTAATTAGGGAGCAAACCACGGTTTGTCTACACATCTCACTGTGATACTAGGGAGGAGCGTGCGGCGCCTCTAGATCTCAAGCCTGCACTGTGATAGCAACCTCGGATTTCAGATCTTATGTTGAGCTTTGGCTTGGGGTTTAGAGTTTAGGTCCAGTGATTTCGGGATAGGGGATGAATCAGATGTTTGAGGGGTTTGGCCTTCTGGTTTCAAGTCGTGCTGAGGGGATCAGGTGGACCCGCTCTCAGATCCGGAAACCTTTGGGGGGGAGATGGTCCCTTCAAGGTTCACTTACAGGATGCTTTGCAACGGGCATCCTGTTCCTATCTTGCGACGTTTGGGGTACAGGCTGCTTGACCTGATGAACAAGAAAGAAGCTTGCAAAGGCTCAAACAGGAAGTTGTAGAGTCCTCTCCTCCGTCGCCTCCATTTTGTGGCAACTGCCGTTTCCAACACCAGACCAACAAATGCGATTTCCCAAACTCAGGGCCCTTTTTCCAGGGATCCTGGATTAGGGTCATTTGTAGTATGAAATTCCCCAGTCTATACTTCTGAACCGAGACCCGGACCTTCTCCCTAAGGTGCGATGCATCAGCAAGAAGACTTCTTCCACGACTGTCAGAGAGAGATCGAGGAGATGGCGTGCAGGACACTGAGATGAGTATGATTGAAAGACAAGCGGTTCCAAGTAACGACACCGAGAGCAAATGTCAAGACTCAAAATGCAATCCTAAATCTTGTCCTCATTCCAGCCAAGCTGAACTCACAGTGGCCTTCCGTCGGATCGCACGACAGGCGCATCATGTCTGTTCAGCTTCCCCATGTGCTGTCTAAGAACGTGTCGGTGTTCTTTAAAACCTGCGACAGGTACAAAGCATTCCCTTTGCAAAAAATCCTGCCTTGGAAGGATACGAGAGCTGACCAACTTCATGGAAGGGATCAGCTCACAGTCTGCTTTCACGAGACTCGACTCCGCGTCCGTGGGAACTTTCATCGTAGCACTGGACATGATATGGTTGATAGCTGCACGATTAGCATAAAGGGGCCTCAATAATTACCTATACTATTTTGGTGGTTCCTCTTCTAATTATTAAGGCCCCTATGCTGTCAGCGATGATGGCTCTGTCGTCATCGTAGTCGTCGTCTCAACACTCGAATCCCAGGCAAACATTTGGGGTTTCGATGTGCAGCACATCTTCTTGGATAGCGAGCAAGAAAACGTTGAACATATATTGGCTCTATCTTAGAAAGTTTGAACTATTTTTGGACCCGGTTGTTGGAGAAGAGAGTCTTAAAGAGGCCGCTGCCTGAGATATGCCCACAGCGCATTCTGAGCTAAGGGAGGGGCAGTTGGACAGCTTGTCCCAGCAATTGTGTGTACATATGAGCGCAATACAAACAAGCAAGTATGCAAACAAGCAAAGAAATGAATAATCCAACAACAAAGCTGGGCATAATTTAGATACATACTAATTCATACATACGTGGGATTCTGAGCTATGTTTCAATGACAGACAAGCGTAAACTCATCGTCTCAACCTGACCAACGATTGTCATCGTTCTCATCTGCATCATGACCAGCAACTCCAATGGAGCAGCTGCGATGGTGTTGGTCGCTTTTGCAGTCGTCGTGGTGACAGCAGCAGCCAGCAGGAGGAGTGGTAGTAGTAGTAGTAGTAGTAGTAGTAGTAGTAGTAGTAGTAGTAGTAGTAGTAGTAGTAGTAGTAGAAGTAGAAGTAGAAGTAGAAGTAGAAGTAGAAGTAGTAGTAATAGTAGTAGTAGTAGTAGTAGTTGTAGTAGTAGTAGTAGTAGTAGCAGTAGTAGTAGTAGCAGTAGCAGTAGCAGTCGCAGTAGCAGTAGCAGTAGCAGTAGCAGTAGAGGTAGTAGTCGTCGTCGTCGTAGCCTACCTCATCTTCATAGGGTGTTTCTTGGTAATGGTTTTGCATGTTCCTGGGAAGACAACCCCCGAGCCAAACCGAGGTCAGGAACCCTGCACGCAGAACTGGAAAACCTGAACAACCCCAAGCAACCTGAGCCCTAAACCCTAAACCCCTGGAGCCCCCTAAACCCTAAACCCCTAAAACCCCAAAGCCCTGAGCTGCCTGAATCCGAGGAATCAAGCCTCACTCAAAGAAGATCGCAATGTCTCCCCGCCCACGGAGCGGCCAGGCTCAATTCGACAGCGCAGATTCGAGCATGCTATGGTCTCCTTAGGAATTGTGTTTTGTAGACAAGATTGAAGATATTAGTTTCATTTTGGTTCTAAGGGGTAGAGTGTAACAAATCGGAAATCAAGACCGGTGTTGTTGTGGCCTCTCTTGTCGTGCTAAGGTTTCGGGTTAGTTGTTGCGGTGAAACTCTGTGAGGTTCAGAGATGATGGAGTCATAGAAGTGGACTCCTACTAAGGCCAAGACGAAAGCTAGAACACTAGCAGCGCTCCTTTCAGGCCCTGAAACCCTCTACCTTAAACGCTAAACCCCGAAATTCCGAATCGAATGCCGGTGCACTGAGGTCCATGGACTCCATGGAGCTGCTGGACTTCGTCGCAGCACCTCGACTGATTCGCCTCCCTTCCCAGGTTCAGTAGTATCCTTTTCACCTTGTTTCTCTTAACTCCCTTATCAAAAGCAAACACTATAGGACACAAGATTCCCTTGCCATTAAGGGGCTACTGGGGAACCAGCTGCATGAGTTTCGGCATTGATGTAGGGTTTCGGGCTGTTTGGTTTAGACCTGAAATCAAGTCAGCAGTTTTTCTCGTGAACGACCCCCTTCAGCATGTCTGCAATCCTCTTGAAGCTGGCCCTTCGCACTTGGAGGCTTGAGCTTCGTCCTGCCAAACACGCCATAATGACTTCAATGAAATACGATGCAGAAGCCCGAGTGGTTCTTGTTAATACACGGGAAATTGTTTTGTGCAATTTAGACCCTCGCGTTTCTTAATATAGGCTTCTAAACTACGGAGGTCCTCTGAAGGGTTCCAAATCCTGGACCCTAACAGCCCTGAACCCTTGAACTCAAAGCCCTAAACTCTAAGCCCTTCAGCCCTGAGCCCCACACCATCCAGGCACCAGACGTCGAGATTGAGCAGCCGAAGGTTTCCAAGAAAGAGATGACAACAGCCGCTTTGCGATGGCTTTTGGGATTCACGGCTTGGGGTTCAGGGTTTAGGGTTCTAGAGTTGGGCATCTTTGATCTTCCCGGTACATGTAGCGGGTCATGGCACAAAGCAGACCGGCTGTTTGTTGGGTTCGCATACCCGAGTAGGATAATTCTGACCCCATTGATCACCAGCACAAGAGGATTATATCTAAATGTGTGTAGTAGCAAACGACATTCTAAGATCGTATATCGGTTTAATTTGGTGTAATATAGTATGATATAATATAGTACAATAGAGGACTATATAATAAACATGCCATTCTACTATAACGACTAAAAACTTGCAGTATAATCATTACAAAAGTAGTGGAGCATCGTTAATATGACATACTCCCTTCAACCTCAAGCCCCCCCAAGCCCTGAACCTTCAACCTAACAGCTTAAACCTAAACCCCTGAAACCTGAAATCCTCAACCCTGAACCGTAACACCAAAACCTTAAGTCCTAAACCTTAATCCTTGAACCTGAAACCCCACACCCAAAAATCCCCCTGCTGTCTGCGTTCTCGATATCCAGTTAAATTACCAATCAAGGAAACCTCATTATTCAGACTAGATCCCTATCAAGGTAACTTAAGTTGAACTCCTTAACAAGATCCCAGAAAAGCATAGAACCTTATAGTAGTCTTTAACAGGAACTAAGAACCCGCTCCTTTCGAGTGCTTTTAGGACCTCCTTCGAGCGGCTCTCGAGACGGCGGAGAGACGGCTGGCCGCGGGCACTGAGGAGGCGACTAAGAGGTTTCGGGGGTTTAGGGGTTCTGAGGGTTTAGGGGTTCTGAGGGTTTAGGGGTTATGAGGGTTAAGGGGTTCAGGGGTTATGAGGGTTAAGGGGTTCAGGGGTTAAGGGGTTCAGGGGTTATGAGGTTTTGGGGGTTCAGGGGTTATGAGGGTTAAGGGGTTCAGGGGCTGTGAGGGTTAAGGGGTTCAGGGGCTATGAGGGTTTAGGGGTTAGTGGGCCTCAGGGGTTATGAGGGTTTGGGTGGTCAGGGGCTCAGGGGTTATGAGGGTTTAGAGGTTATGAGGGTTTAGGGTGGTGGCTATATAATTTTTCGGTATTTTTTCCGTTGTTTTTGGTATTTTTCCGGTCTCCTGCCCAAGCAAGCAAGCAAGCAAGCAAGCAAGCAAGCAAGCAAGCAAGCAAGGAGGGCAGGAAGCAAGCAAGCAAGCAAGCAAGCAAGCCAGGAAGCGAGCAAGCAAGCAAGCCGGCAAGAAAGGAAGCAAGGAAGGAAGGAAGCCCAGGCAAGCAAGCAAGCAAGCAAGAAAGGAAGCAAGGAAGGAAGGAAGGAAGGAAGCAAAGGCAAGCAAGCAAGCAAGCAAGAAAGGAAGCAAGTAAGGACGGAAGCAAACGCAAGCAAGCAAGCAAGCAATCAAGCAGGCAAGGAAGCGAGGAACCGAGGAAGCGAGGAAGCAAGCACGGAAGCGAGGAAGCGAGGAAGCAAGCGAGCAAGGAAGGAAGGAAGGAAGCAAAGGCAAGCAAGTAAGCAAGCAAGAATGGAAGCAAGGAAGAAAGGAAGCAAAGGCAAGCAAGCAAGCAAAGAAGTTAGCAGGCAAAGAAGGAAGCAAGGAAGGGATCGAGGAAGGAAGCAAGCAACCAAGCTTCGCAGCGCATGCCTGTAGAGCAGAAGCATCAGAAGCGTATCTGTAGACCGTGATATACATATATGTGTATGTATATATATATATATATATATATATATTATTTGCATATCGACACATACACACAGACACACACACATACGCATACACACACATATACATATACATATACATATACATATACATATACATATACATATACATATACATATACATATACATATACATATACATATACATACATATATATATATATATTTACATATATATATATATATATATATGTATATATATACACATACATATGCATATACTTGCGCACAAATGTATATGTAACAAGTAGCTGAATGTCTATGCGTATATGAGCAACTATGCCTACATAACACGATTGGTTTAAAGCTGCGGCGTTTCACTCGCATTAAGATAACCTAACACCCACCACAACCCACTGTGCAAGTTCTTCGATGCGAACGCTTGCACGTGTCAACTCATCTCTTGCATCAGTAGCCCCGCAAGACCCCATAGGGCATTGAAAGGAATGCAGATGAAGCTACCCGGCGTTTCTGCGAGGCATGACTCCTTGTTTACATTATTTTCCAAGCCATTCAGTCTCCACCCTAAACCCACGGCCCATGAACAGCGACCCCACAAGAGTCCAAAACCCAAAAGCCTAAACCGCTGCTGAGGAAAGACTTCCACGAGCGTCAGGTATGTCGCAGCGCATTGCACCGGTGCTTTAAGAGCGCAAATCCACGTGGGCAAGTTCCGCTACGAACAGCTGCGAACTTGCGACCTGCTCAGCAGTCAAGAGAATGGCGCAGCAGTGCACCCATTCACTGAGGGCAGCGGCATTTGCTAGACCCGTGCACCTTTTGTTGGACCCAATTGAGGCTCCGAGCTGGCGAGCGTCAACAGTAGCGCTAGCGTGGCTAGCTGCACTAGGAATGTGATCATCACGCTTCGGAGCCGAGTTCCACCGCAAGGTTTGCTCCATGGCATAGATGCTACCACCTCCACCAATATGAGTCTCGCAGTTGGGACACAGCTGCGCTTACTACTACTACTACTACTACTACTACTACTACTACTACTACTACTACTACTACTACTACTACTACTACTACTACTACTACTACTACTACTACTACTACTACTACTACTACTACTACTATTTTTCAATTGAACGCTGCGCGAGCGTGCTCTGCGCTTTGCGGGCGCCATTGGTCTCATGCACTCGTGAAACTGCTTCTAGCATGCATCGCTCAGGTCTCTCTAATCAGCTCGAACTTGACAAACTACTTCAACTGCTACTGCTACAAAAAGCTTCCTTCTCCGACACCTTGGCGTGAACAGACGCGTCCATCTGTGCACCTGTCTCAACAAATAGGCCGTACCTCAGATGAAGCCGCCACCCGGAGTATCCGTCTCGTGGCGTCCCACACGGATTACTCATGTTGAAGACAGAAGGCCGTAAGGGTCATGTGCGGATGACCGCTGGTACCTGAGGCAATTTCGGTGTCGTGAGTCTTTGGGCAGCTTCGATGCTGGCAATTTGCTGAAGCGCAAAGTGCTGTTTTAAGCGAGGCTAGCACGCGATTCGCATTCTTCCGAAGAGATGTGCTAGGCGTCGGAAGAGTGCCGAATTCCCTGAGTCTGTGACATAAGGGATCATAGAGTCTGTGACATATTATCGCCCTCACTGGTCATGACCTTTTGGCCACTGCTGAGAGTATCCGTGCCAGGACCACTGCTGCCACCAGTCCCAGTCGTCGTCCTGAGATGAGCGTGCCTGTCTGGCCCACTGGGACGAGGAGGATGAGGAGGGGCCATCGCGCTGCCGCTTGCCCTCTGTGTCTGCCTCCTGCATCTGTGGGCGCTTGTGAGTTGCAGCAGCAGCCAGCTTGGCCATGCGCTTGTCCTCTTCGTTCCCTTTGTCATGCTGTATCCGCATCTTCATGATGGAGTAGGCATTTTTGTCGGGTTTGACCCGGAAGACACGAGCTGGGAGTCCAGCTGATTTTGCAGTCTCGTTGTAGACTGCCACTATGGTGGTGGCGATCATATTGAATTCGACCCACGAGGGGAAGTGTTGCTGAAAAGCCTTTTCGTCCCACATCTTGTTAAAGCAGGCATGGATAAGGCCATGCACTTTTGTTGGCGCGTCCAGCTCGCGGTAGGCATCGCCCGCGCCTGTGGCGATGGTGACCTTCCCATCGCTTGTGAGGACTCGCCTCACCGACATGGCGGTGTCCCATGTGAGGCCGGTTTGCGTCCTGACGGACTTGATGGCAGAGAACAGCGGCGGGACTTCTCGGAGTGCTTCCATCCTGGTAGACCAAAGGGTCTGTTGTTCCTGGTTGGTGAGGCCGCCAAGAATGACCGGGGCCACCAGGATGTTGATGGAAGCTAAGGCCCGAATCCAGTCTTGATGGGACTGGGAGCTCAGCAGCTGAGCCAACTCCTGCCTCGTGTAACGTACTGTCAGCCGTGGAGCCGGCTGCGGGACATAGCCGACGAGTTCCGCATTGGATTCCGGAGGCTCATATGCTGACGGGGGGCGGGAAGAGGGAGGAGGGGGCGTGTGGGAGCGCGGAGCGGCCTGGGTGGCGGGGGTTGGAGGAGAGACGGACTTGGGGGGGTGCGGAAGGATCGGGGGGACCGGAATCGCAGGAGGGGGGGCTGGTGCCGCCGATGAAGATGAGGGCGGGGGGCATTGGGTGGCCACCAAGGGCGGTGGGGCCTTAACCGGAAGCGCTGGGGCCGCCTTCGGTGTTTCTGCTTGGCCTGCTTTGAAGGCCGCCTTTTCAGCTGCTGAGGAGGTGAAAGGGCAAGGGGGGGAGGGTGGCGGCTCAAAGCCGGCTGCTTTGTCTACACCTTTGGTCCTGGTACTGCTGGGGGGAAGAGGAATTTCCTGGGGGAGCTTGGGGGGAGGAGGAGGGGGGGGAGAGTGGGGGGCTGGCGTGGCACTGAGTGCTGGGTTGTGCTTCTGAGTGACAAAGTGGTTCTTAAGGCCGTGGCTAGTGCTGAATTGCACCTGCCTGTTGTGCTTGCGGCAGTGCAAGCAGCATAGCCACATGTCCCCCGAGACTTTCACTTGCCCTAATCCTCGAGGGATAAGCTCCAGCACATCCTGCTCTGTAAGGTCTTGATTGTAGTGGTGGGTTGCACGGACCGTAGCCATGATCTCTGCAAAGGAGTTGTACTGAATGCTGTCGGCCACATAGGCTTCAATATCCTCCTGAGTGGGAGGAGGGGGAGCCGATGAGGCGGTTGCCATGGTCTGTGACCTAGGTGGCTGTGGTGAGCTGTGCTCTTCAGGTCTGTCAGACTGGATTTCAAGGGAGATGTCAGGGAGTTGGCTCTGCAGCATGCGGTCTGTGCGTTCCTTGGTGGTTGGGTCTCCCTGAAATCCCTTCAGCCACTTCCAGCAACGGGTATATGCAACGGTCGTGTTGTTGGTAGTCACGAAGAAGTGGCCATCATTGTCGTACTTCTTGTTCTTCACTCGCTTGTCCCAGCGCTCCGAGAACAGGTAGATGGGACCGAATTTGGTGGAAACATTCCATCCCGGCTGAGGGGAGTGACCAAGGTCGCGACCCAAGATCTGCCAAAGATATTTGCAGAAGGTCATGTATTCCAAGTTTGCCTTCGCTGTCATAACCTGACGGCTGAAGGCGTGCTGTATGGCTTCCCTCATCAAGGGATGTCTGGGCTTGCCATAGATGATGCCTTGAAAAATATGATCTCCTTTGACTCCTATGGCCATGACCATGAACTCCTGTGGGAGTTGGCCAGGTGGGGAGGGTCTGTGACCCACTTCACCTGCCTTCTTTGAGTGAGCTGTGCTCCAATCTGCTGCGAGATACACAAGTACTTGTTCCCAAGGTACTACGAAGCCACATTTGATGTCGACGTATAGGCCGCCGTGCTGGTAGTGGTAGACGTATCGGAATACGTCTGCTCGATGAGCAGGTTGGCTGAGGCGATCCAGCAGATTGGAGCCGTACTTACCTGCGAGTTGCCGCAGGGTAGCCCGAAGAACATCATCATCACAGAATCTGCGGGTGAAGCCAGCAAACATTTTGGCCGCGACTTGGGCCGGTTCCGGCTTTTCGTCGTGAACGTAGGTCT